CACACACACATATATATATATATATATATATATATATATATAACCTCCACAGTGTCATTAAGCTTATAAATGTAAGTATTGACACTGTGGAGGTTATTCGGAAAATATGGTTTGATGTGCTCTTTAATACAGAACTGTATACATAACTATACTGAAGTTGTCAAGGTCTCAGTTAGACTAGGAAGTGTATTTGAAGGCCTTACTTATGCTTCATATAAAGAACTTGTGCGCTATATTTGTACATTGTGTAAATAGCTTACACTTTAACAGGGGACACATATGTGAAGGCTTGCGTTGCGCTGTTCGCATTACATAAGACATATAGCCAACGTTGTTTATACATATTTAGAGTTTATGCATATCAGGAATCAGTCAAACAGCAGTATATATGGCTGTGCGCCAACAATAAAAGCACAACTTGAAATAACCAAACGTTTACGTCAAAATATTTATAACCTGACTTCGTGAACAGCATTTAATTCAATATTATATTAATTTATATAATAATATTTAATCTCAAAGGCGTCAGGAAGCAAAGACATAGTCATTTAAAGCATAACTGAGTTTATCATTTTACAGTTTGAGTCACTTATCCCTCCAACCAAATTCAATGACTTTCAAAAAAGGAAAAGCATACGCACCAACTGGGGTTCTGTTTTTTGTTAACATGTAAACTATGTATGTAAATACTGTCGCTATGGAATAAGCTGGAAATGAATGCAACTCAAGCAGAGGCAGACTTATTTAGACACAAGAGCGGAGCGCAGTGGGCTGTATCACTTACCCGCTGAAGGTCAGAAAGTACAAAGTTGGGACGTAGTTTTTGGAAAGGAGCGATAATTGTGCTGTCAAACACAACCTGGTATCAGTTCCCTCTGCATTCGTATGGAAGCGAAACTGCAAAAGAGCACCGTTAACAACTTCTCGATAATTTCAGCAGAACTCACTCCCCTGTGTGACGTGCGAATCGTTTTCTGACTGCGCTGTGTGATGTGACAGCGCTGTGCACCAGTCACCTGTAGGCTCTTGTGACAGCCGCAGCCACCAATCGCAGCGCTCACACAGCATTGTGGGAAATGTAGTTCAGTTTAATGTAAACGTTAAAGGGGTAGTTCACTGTTTTTTTTTCTAGGCTTGATTGTGTTTATGGGGTGCAGTCTAACATGTTAATGCTTCGTTTTTTTAAAAAACGCATTATTTTTCACATAATTTACCTTTATTCCACACAGCTCTACAGCTGTCCCTTCTCTATTTCCTTCTTTTATGAAGTCCCTCCCTCAGAAATAAGCGATGGACTCTGATTGGTTAGCTAGCCCAGTGTGTTGTGATTGGCTCTAGTGTGAGTCTAAACGTCCCGCCCCTCACCTCAGCGGCATGTGCTCCGGTTGTATTGTAAACAATGGCGTCCTTAATATTGCTTATCAGTTTGAGCCCAATTGAGAAGCAGAGGATATTATTGAAGAGGATCGTGCAGAACCTGTGCAAACACGGCTTTTAATGGTAGGCCTATGTTTTTTGTTTGTTGTTGTCTCATACTTTTAGATACGCTGGTATTTGTAAATGCTACGGCTTCTATTAGCTTTTAATATACGGTTTTATCCTGATTAAAGCTTAATATAATAATATAATACATTACGGCAACTGCACGCACGTCCATGTTTAACGCTTCTCATAGCTATGTGAAAATAAGTGTATAATTGTAACAGTTCATTGTTGGAGCTGAGCTGAATGAGAGAGAGATGCAGAGCGTGTGTGGAGCAGGGAGATGCAAGGAACAGTATTAAGAACCGCTGCTTTAGAACATTGATTTTGAAACTTGTGAATCCATTAGAATCGTTAGTGAATAGTGAATAGATTTGTACGTGCACCTCTAGTTTTCTCTTCCTCTTCTCTAAAGCAGCGCATGGCCTCTCCCCCTTTGCTGCCTATTCCCGAGGGCAGGTTTATCTGGGTTTGTTAGGTCACGAACTCGGGAAGTAACTTGTTGTAGTCCCTACCAGCCGTTTTTGTAGGCATTAAACTGCCAGAATTTTAAAAGATATCTCCGTTTGCATTGAACTTTCAGCTTTGTAACTTTGCAGATATTGTTTATGCTCAAACAGCAACATTACACACTAACTAACCTTAAAAAAAGTGAAATCGCAATGAACCACCCCTTTAATCAATAATAATACAATAAGAAAATTCTAGTTGGAATATTACTACTTTTTTCATATCTTAAAAAACAATTCTAGTAAAAATTATACTTTTTTATATTATAGTTCGACTTTGTCAAAAAAGTAAACACTTGTATAGTAATGCACTAACATATATAAACAAAATTCTGCCTGAAATTTTTTTTTTCTTTTACTACAAACTCGTCGGTGATTAGCAATTGGAAAATGTTGTGTGCCAAATTTCATCTTTTTCCTACTTAAAGTTCATCGGGCTACCATAACTAACAATTACAATTAAATACATTTAAATTACTTACAATATCATAAGTTTAACTAGATTAAGATAAAATGTTTGTATTATAATCGTGCAGATATTATATTTCCCAAATTAAGGGATAATGTACAGTCAGTCGGTTGATATTGCAAAATATATCTTCACAGGGTGGAAAGCACAAGCAGAGCAGTTGACTGTATATTATCTCAATCACACAGATCTCTTGAACACGTCTTTCTGATTGGTCACAGTATTCACTATTTGTTTTATGTCCATATGCATTCCAGTAAGTATAATCATATGTGTGTGTAACTCAATGATAAATCCAGTGGCATTACAATGAAAGACAATCTACATGAAATGAAACCTAAAACAAATCTGCATGTGCAGTGCTTTAGTGGTTGGGTTCAGAAGTTGTTTCAGATTGGCCCACAGGGTGTCAGTATTGATCCCATTCTTTCCCATGCAGGACAGAAACACGAAACACTGATTATGGCGTGTCTTATTTAATAGTTTGAAACATCAGCGCCTTCGTTTTCCAGTCTAAAACAAAACACAAGCTCTAAATTAGAAAGAAACAATTTACTTCACACACAAAACACAACTTCTGGATTTAAGGAAATACATTTTAACTTTGGTTTTATCTACAGATTTAATAACTCCTCTTGATCACAAACAATAACATTCACTTAACTAAAGACACTTATCTACAACACGTAGAAACTCCCTCGCCAATGCAGTCAATTAGACACGATTTAACTAGGCAAGCATGCACAGTAGTAAAGCTGAACTCAGAATATCCCCACAGAAAGCACTGAATACATAAAATCTTAGCTTTTTGCCCCTAAATCTAACACCAGGCTAAAGGGTTTTCAAAATGGGTTACACTATACCTCTCCAGAGTTGACTTGCCTTAATATGTCTTGTTTTTTTAATACTGGAATTTTTTTAAAACATTTTTTATAGATTGAATGCTCATTTAGTTTACCGATTTATACATTTGCAGAGAGACAGAATGAGAAATCTAAAGAATTAAGGTTAATCTCGAGAATGCTATTGAAGAAAAAACAAAAAACAACAACTAATTATTAAATCACATATGATTCAAGATTAGAGGCATGCAAACCCTACTATACAAGTGTTATAACCTGATGATGAATTTTCTAAACCACTCTCAATGGGCAAGAAAAGCATACCATTACCATATACTGATGTAGATGCCATATTTAATGTGAACATATTTTTGCCTTAAAAACTGAGGGCGGCAAGCAGAGTCTGTTCAGAGGGTTGTACTGTTGTGTACTTGGAATTTGATCAAGTGGAGAAAAAATTCCACAATTTTCAGCAGAAGAAAAAAAACATCTCCAATAAAACATAGGTTAAAAATGGCAGCATGACATTTTGAATCAACTTCTATCTTCTGTACATCTATCGTGAAACCAATCAAATTAAATATGCCAGCTACCCAGACTATTAAAGTCAACTGCCACATACATTGTCTTGAGACCTTGAGTTTGGACTACAAATCAAAACTAAAGTGTCCATAAAAGCAGCACACGAAGTACAAAGTGTAAAATTCAACAGAAAACCAGACTACCAAGCCAGGACTTTAGGGTTGGTCGAAACAGGCCTGAATTGTCTTCTGCAATATTTTTGTAATTGACAAGTTTGGAGTTCATTAGTCTAATTATATGAGGATGTGGGGTACTGAGGGTGCCACCAGTCAATGAGGCGTACGCTGTGGACAGGGTCCAGCACTACCTGCACCCCCTGTTCACCCCTAAGCTTCTTCCCTCGAATGACTGGTGAATCCTGGAACTCCAGGCGCACTCGGTGGTGCCTCATGTCTGTGCTCACATTAATGGTAAACTGAAAGACAAGGCGCGAATGATTCATTGTCATTTATGACATCAGAATAACTTGCATTTTCACTATAAGTAAAACATTCATCAAAAAGGAATGTGGAAAATTCAGCTGGGTCTAGACCGCTAAGCATCATCAGATCTGACTTCCACTTTCTAAAAAGAGTACAATGCTGAAGTTCCTGAGGCTACAGATTTAGCACTACAAATTTCAAGTGCCATCAAGCTCAAAAAGGAACAACTTACTGAAGTCTGGAATACACTACACAACTTTTAAAATCTGAACAGAACTTCAAACACTAGGCATCATACATTTGCTGACTTTGTAAATGGTTACAGAGAAAAAAAACTGGCCATCAAACTAAACAATTGAGGATCACACACTCTCAGACTTACAAGTTGTTCTAAACTCACACTCCTCATTGCGAGATGAAAAAATTAAAACGTTGCAAAATCAGTTCAGTATCAAACTTGATATCCTCAAAAACTCAAATCAAGAACTGAAGATTTAGAAATAAACGAGAAGGTAAGCCTGTGCCCATTATACACTATGTGATGTTTTTGTGAAATCTCAGATTATCAGAAATCTGCAGACTCCGATTTCAACACAAAATAATGAGCTTTAAAAAAGCATCATATGACCCCTTTAATGACATGATGATTAGAGATCCAGAGATGATATTATGCATGTTATCCTCCTGTAATTCAACAACGTAAAAATATTATTTGACACGCATTCACATCACTCACCAAAGTTAACGTCATGCCCATCACAACAGAAGTGAAAATAAAATTGAGGGTAGTGACTCGCAGCAGATAACAGTCCGAGTCTGGATTAGTGTGAACATCGTTATACTGCCTGGGCAGCTGAAGACTCAAACTGCATCCATTTTTGCCCTTGGTTGGCTAGAAAAGAATAGCCGACAAAATTAAAACAATGGAATAATCTCATATTCTACCTTTATAACGATGTAGCGAACATACCAGTTTCACAAACTTGAAGTTGAATTCCCACATCGGCTCTGACCTACTTCCAGACACTTTGTTGACCCAAAACAACAAACACTGTGGGAACAAGAAAGGCATCAACACAAAAATCCTCAGATTAAATGGGTTTAAAAATGAATGTCCACACACCTTGGAATTGAGGAGTGTTGTAGGCGTAGATTCAGGGAGAGGAGGGCTTTTGGACACCCGCAAGCTAAAGGGCTCATATAAGTGAAAAAGCGAGCGAATCACACGGGCACGAAGACAACGCATCTGTAGCGTCTGGACCAATCAAAAACACAATTTTTCATTTGATTTAACAAATCAGTTATTCATTAGATTAACAAGTCGTCACAGACCCCTCACCAATTAATTATAACTAGTTATGATTAATTATTCATATTTCCCCATGAGCTGATTCGCTACACATCTTTACAATACAATCAGGTTGAAGGCGATCGGGGAGGTCTGCATCAAGGTTATAGTGCCTGGGGAAAGGTAAAAAAACATCAAGAGGAATAGTGTCATGCATAAATGCCCTGGATGGGGAACGCAGAAAACTCCAATAGAGTGCAACAGTGCTGCCCAGTTTTTCAGCAGCCTTGGCTCTGGAAGCATTTTTCCCCATTCAGTCTTTGTTAAAGAGTTATAAGAGGCCCCGCAAAACATCTTTTAATACTACTTTTTGGCTGCCTACCTTTTGTAGAGTCATGTCCAAAATGCAGCCGTGCACGTGGCTGTCCAAGCATTCTTGCAGATCACAGAAAATCTGCAGACGTCTTCTGGCCGAATGTATGCAGCAAGCAGAAGCCAAATATCAATGGGATACTCCTCTCCATCTATGCTCCCACTGTTTTCTAACATTCATAATGAGAGAAGTTACTTAAAATCTCAACAAACTCAAGAAAACAAATAATATCGGAATACATCAGAACAGGGATTCCCAAATTTTTTTGTCAGCCAGAACTCTTTGACCTAAAATATTTACTTGAAAGACACATTAAGATTATGATTATTTAGATTGAGACATTAGCTTATTCACTGATGATGGTAAATGATCAAATGGCATGCAGGTAACCAAATAATATAGGCCTATAATCTTTTTAGTAAGCATTTTGTTTCTATTTTAATTTTACATTTCAATTTAATTTTCCTTCAGTTCCTTCATGAACCCCAGTTTGAAAACTCACTGGACAAAACACTCTGCAGTTACCTTTGTGTCTTTTGTTTTTCTTTTTGCGGGACCCTTTGATTTCATCCCCTTCCTCTGAGTTCAGTTCATCACTGCTCTCAAGGGCTGCATTACTCACACCAACTGCAGAGGAGAGCACTTCCTGCACGGGACCCTGGGATGCCTCGAGTCCACAGAGTAATTTCACTGAAACAGAATTAAGATCAGGGTACTTTTTGATTTTGAAGTGTCAAATGTTTTACTACTAAATTATCCCCAACATACTGGACAAGAGCATCTTCTTAATAGCCTGACCCAAGGCAGTTCAGGCCTGCTTTTGGAGATTTATGTTTTAATCAAACACACCTGAATCAGCCAATTAAGTAAATTAAAGGTGTTGGGGTCATTGTAAAGTACAGGCAGGAGTATAAGGGGTGAAATAAACTGAGGAGCTCCAGGAGCAGGAGTGCACATCTGCAGTCTAATTCAAAGCCTCAAACAAATTATGACATGAAAACTCATAATGATTCTGTGGCATTATTATTATTATTTACGAAAACATGTTTTTCGTTCTTATGTGGCGGGAATAGGCTTGTATAGATTTCTGATTTTACCTTATTTTTCAATTGCATTAACAATAGCCTTTTTAACTCTTCCCGACTTCACGATGGCGGGATAGGTGTTGGCATAGTCAGCCACAGTTACTGTAAGAAAATATGAAGGAACACAAGAAATTAAGTTAACATAAGAATGGACTTTGACTATTATACGCAACACACATCATAACATCAGCCCGCCTCGCTCTATCATTACCTGACTCCGAGCAAACATCCTCGGCTCTAAATTTCAGCCGTTTTCGGTTCCCTTTCTTGGGCATGACAACAGCGGGGGTCTCTGGCCGTTTATCGAGGCTGTGTGCCCTGCCATCTTCCCAGCAGAGGTAACGAAAACCCGATAAAAATGAGGGTGAAATTAGTGAAAGCTCCTCCAGTATCTTCAGCCATTATGAACTGACGCTCAAGGTCGCGTACATTCGCGCGAGATCTCAGAAAGCGAACGACTCCCCAGACTGGACGCTAATTGGACGCAGAAATCATATGTGAGAAGATTCGTCCAATTAGACGTTTAAAACGACAAACCATGTTTCGTTTTTATTGTTTAAAGTGTCTTAAAGTACCAAGAATTGTACAAATAAATATACAGGAGAATCTATTTAAAAGTTAAAAAGAACATTGAACCTCGAGAAAAGTCATTTTTGCGCGGAGCTTGAATGGAATCATTTTAGATGATGTATTCTCGATTCATGAGATACATTAAAATATTCTTCATAATGTATAGGTTGCATATTTGATCAAAAATAAAAACGGTTCATTTTACATAAAGGAATCAGAAATATTAGAAAACAATATTTTATTTTTATTTGAGAAAATATTGTTTTATTTTTATTTTCTCAGTTGTTTTTCTTTCTTTCTTTCTTTCTTTCTTTCTTTCTTTCTTTCTTTCTTTCTTTCGGTCATGAAAATAGCTGCAGGGAACTTCCATATGTGTGTGTGTGTGTTATGTCCCCAAAAAAGCGCATTTGCATTATCTCATTATTAGGAAATCTCATATTTCTATTATTCTTAAATGTTATTTAGCGTTGTTGTATTTTTGAGCATTGTTTTATTCATTTTATTTCTTTATAGTTATATTTAATGGGTCACACTATGTGCAGTGTGAGGACCAAACCAAATCTCCAGGTGCTCTTTTGAGAACCAGGCTGAAAAACTTATGTGCACCTCTTGTGTATATATATATATATATATATATATATATATATATATATATACATTTACATTTAGTAATTTAGCAGACGCTTATATACAACTTAATTATAGATCCTAGTCATTCCTATGAACCTGCCTGCCGACAGAGGGCGCTGCGCGTGACACAATTTCTCACATTGGCGTCTCGTGCATGACAGTCATGTAGTCGCATGGTGCTGATGTGAGAAACTCCGATTTTACGCTGTCTGCACGAGCTGTACGGAGCCACGCCGGGTGGAAATGATTTTCGCCGACGACGTGGGAGACGTTTAACCTTCACGTCCACCAGAGGCTCGGTGCAGTCATATTTTAAAACATGCTCGAATGTTTGTGGAGATAGCGGAATCGCTGTGTTGCAAGCGGGAATGAGCTCGTAGAGGGAGGAGCGCTTCGCTCGGCTCGCCGTGCAGGGAGATGATGATGATGATGGTGGTGGCAGAGGGATCTGGAGGATGCGGCAGACGCGAATTTCACCGTTTCCTGAAAGGTTGATGGCAGCTGGTGGATGTTAAAGCGAAGGGCGCCGAGGTTCAGCTGAAATCGGAATATGCGTGTGGCGAACGCCGTAATGAGCGTCCAGCGAAATGCATCGAGTTCCAAGTCAAACTAGGTGGGAAATGTCAGAGCGGAAAAGGCCGACAGTCGTGGACCAGAGAGGTCAAGGTGTGTGATGAATCTAGACAGGGATTCATTCATTCATGATTTCTCTATGCAGTAGAGGAATTAGAGGATGCATATGCATTTTAAAATACATGGACATGTTTAATGTGCATTTAAATGGCACTTAGTAGTGCACCTCAAACCTGAATTAAAAAAAATATCAAAGCAAGTTCTAATTTGACTTAGACTTCATAGAACACCGATCAATATGATGTGTGAAGTGATGCCAACCATAAATGAGGGGGACTCGGTGAGTTCCCAGAGAGGCTCTCAGAACGGCACGGATGCCGAGTCTAATTTTGAACAGCTGATGGTGAATATGTTGGATGAGAGAGATAAGCTGCTGGAGTCTTTACGGGAGACACAGGAGACCCTCAGCCAGTCGCAGACCAAACTCCAGGATGTGCTTCACGAGAGAGATGTGCTTCAGAGACAGCTTAATTCTGCGCTACCGCAGGTAAACTCACATACCTGACACAGGTACACAGGAAGTTGCGTAATGACTTGCTATAATTTCCAATTATAGAACTTAAAACGGTGCAAGAAGCTAATTTTAATGTCCCTTTTAATAACAACTAGCTTAAGTTTAACAGTAGATTAAAGTTCCCAAGGTGACAATAACTAGTGACTATATCCATGTCATACACATGCTTCATGGGAGTGGATGGGTACAGTTTGTTCATTGGTGGAGATTCCTTTGCAGGATCATGTGTAATGTAGTTTTTTCTCCTGGAATTCTGATGGCTGCAACAAGAGCATACACCATCGATTAACAACCTTGTAGCTCACAATAGGAGTCCAGCCCGGGGTCGTCACATGTGGTTGCCGCTCCTTCGTCGGATCCGTCGGCCGCGCCGTTCTCAACCGCGTCGCCTCTGCTCACTCTAGTCCGGCCTCAGCTCACGCTAGGCCGCCGTGTTTTTCGTTGTGAAAGAAAATAATGTTTTTTTTACTTTAAACCGCATAAACACATTTCATTATACCAAATACACAAAATAATGTTATTTTTAGCAGCATCATATGACCCCTTTAACAGTTTATAAGTTATGGTTCAAAATCAAATCCCCTAAAATGAATGGATTTTTATTTCTGGAACCCGACTGTTACACTCTATAAAATGTTCAGTCATGTCGTCAATTTGTATGTCAACTTGGAAAGCTAATTGGCTGTGGGTTGGTTAAAAAAAAATTTCTGGGTTTTTGAAATAGCAGATTTCTGATGTGTGAGTAAATTTAAGGTCTGTGGTTAAAATGCTTGTGAATTTTGAAGTGCTGTGTTTTCAACAAGATTTTGTGAAATCTTTCTCTGTAGCCAAATTGATATGGCAATGAGAAAACCAAAGGTTAAAGGTTTCCCCATTGTTTCTGACTTAAGTAACTATTATTATGTGGAGGAAATGTTTAGCAAATGTGTAGTTACAGTATCTCACAGAAGTGAGTACACCCCTCACATTTTTGTAAATATTTTACTATATCTTTTCATGTGACAACACTGACGAAATGACACTTTGCTACAATGTAAAGTAGTGAGTGTACAGCTTGTATAACAGTGTACATTTGCTGTCCCCTCAAAATAACTCAACACACAGCCATTAATGTCTAAACCGCTGGCCACAAAAGTGAGTACACCCCTAAGTGAAAATGTCCAAATTGGGCCCAATTAGCCATTTTCTCTCCCCGGTGTCATGTGACTCATTAGTGTTACAAGGTCTCAGGTGTGAATGGGGAGCAGGTGTGTTACATTTGGTGTTATCGCTCTCACTCTCTCATACTGGTCACTGGAAGTTCAACATGGCACCTCATGGCAA